GTTTGTGACAAGTGATAATTGTAGAACTTGGTCTTTTTAATAGTCTTTTTCATAGTTTTAGGTTTTATTGCATGTTTTTCAGTGTCATTTTTGTGGTTTAAGGTTTGTTTGTTTGATTTGTGTTTTTTTTAGGTTTAAGTAAATGTTAATAAGTTTCTTTGCGTTTCTTTTTAATTTTTTTCTTAGGTTTAAGTTTATAATTCCTTTTTAACTATGAAAAAGACTATTAAAAAGACCTAGTTCTACAATTATCACTTGTTACAAACATTGAGGGTGCTCGAACGAATTGTGATTTAAAAATGAGACTCTTAGAACTTCCTTTTTGACAAATCCACTCTTCCGGACGCGCAGTCACGTTACGAGACTGAACGAAGCTATCCGAGTCGAGTCTATGCATGCGCGCTCTTCATATATAAAGAATTACTCGATTCGCGAACTAGGTCTTCGCTTTATGTAAACGAATAAAATGTTACTTTTCCATCATATATGACTTTTTTATTTTTCTATTTATCTGATTCATCTTCACTACTTTTTGATGATTAATACAAGTTTTTTAATTTAATGTAGGACTTGTTGAACAAATCAGAGTAGTTAAAAAGTAGTCAAATAGTCTACTAGGAAGTTATTTTAGATATTTCTTAATTTTGTTATTGTTTTTTAATTTACATTAATTTGTTTATTTTATTTTACGCAGACAAATTATATGTTTATTTATTAATAACTTATTATTTATTTATAAATTTTTATTATTTATAAATATTTATTCTTTATTTATAAAATAAATCCATCTGAGATATTGCGTTTTCAAAATTTCAAAAAAAAAATTGAAAACCCTGAACAACCACAAAATTTCAAAATTTTCGAAAATCTTTTTTGGAATTTTTATTCGCATGTATTTCCCTACAATTTCTCAAAGTTTTACCAAAATCGGAGAACTGAGGGACAACCTTGATTTGTTAGGTATGGTTTGATCCTAAAGTCATTATTAATTTTTCTCCTTTCATTTGTGAATTTACAACTGATATTTTTTCTAAAGTGGCTACATTAATTCTATTCAGAGTTACTGGAAAAATTAGTTCTCCTAATTGGTCTTGAGCTTCTTTCGCTATTGTTAAAAGTTGACTATTGGTTAACATTCTGGGGTGTAATTTTCCTTCTTTGGCACCATACATTACTTGTAACGTTTGTTCTAACGCATGTTGTCTAAACGTCCGTCGAATTTCTTTACTTTGTATTGTACATATCTAATTTCTCCTGCCATTGTTCCGAGATTCTTTGTTGTTGTTCTGCCGCATTATATAAATTGTGTACCTCTGCCCTGACTAAATGAGTTTGTTCTACAACTAATTTCGAGTTATTTCTTTGGTCATCATCTAGTTCTAGTAGTGACTGTTCATATCGTTCACCGTCTTCGAAATTTAATACTCCTATGGTGTGGCCTGCTATTTTTCTTACGAATCCAAACCATGGTGTACTCCGTTTTCGAATTGATTTTGCAATAGGTGCCTGTTTTGGGGCTCCAGAACCTCATTTAAGGTTGAATTTGGTTTCTTGTTGACGGAAGAAACTTTTTTTTTCCTATTATTTTTACTATTAAAATTTTTTTTTTACAATTATTTTTTTTTAATTTCTTTACATTGTCTTAAACCCGTGTAAAAAAATTATTAAAAAAAGAAATTTTATTAATTAATTTTATTGCAATAACTGGTAGTGAGTAGTATGTGACGACCCTATTTTAATTAGTGGGGGGGCTCTAGAACCTCATTTAAGGTTGACGCAAGGTTTTGGCCAATTGCAGATAAACAACTTTGTCACTAATTTAAATTTCTTTGTTTTATCAAAAGAATAGAAGAAGAGTTTTTTTGTTTCAATTCCATTAATATCTTAAGACGATTTAATTTGATTTTCCTCATCAAGACTTGTATGAAAATTTAAGGAAATAAAGAATTTTCTTTAATTAATTTGTTTTAAATTGACTGAGAGTGAGTAGTATGTGACGACCCTATTTTAATTAGTGGGGGCTCCAGAACCTCATTTAAGGTTGACCCAAGCCTTGATGGGAAAAGAAGGAAAAATTTTATTGTCAATTTCCTAAAATAAGATAAATTAAAGAATATTGTCTGACTAGTTGTTCGCTTTTTATTTTATTACTTTTATCACCTTATTTTGCATTTTTTTAATAAAATTATAACAAATAAAATGTTTTGTAATGCCTCATAAATGTAGAAATGTTCACGGAGGAAAGAAACTAAAGAATTTGATAAGAATTAGGAATTACACTAAAATAGAAAAAGAACTTGTAAGTGACAAAAATTTAAATAGGCTCATAGCATTAAGACGCAAACCCGAAAATCAAGTTGAAACCTCGTCAGAAAATTCGGAAAACTCCCTAAGTTCATGGAAAGAATTTCATGATTGTCTTGAATACGTCACGAACGAAGCTAATGCCAAATTAGCTCTCATAAACAAACGAAAAGAAATAGAGCGTCGAGTAAAACTGGCTTTGGAAAATAGGGAAAGGGAAAACTAAATAAGAACTTTTCTTTCATTTTATTAATTTCTCTTTTCTTCCAATTTCTCTAATTTCTATTGTTTACCGCTTGTAAAAAAAAGAAGAGGATTCTTTTTTTTTAAATGTTTTGCAATGCCGAATAAAAATAAACACCGTGGAGGACGAACAAAAGTAAAGAAATCTTTGAAAGTCAAAAATCTCGCTAAGTTAGAGGAAAGGATTTTAAGCGACAAGAATTTAGGTAGAATTGTAGCTTCGACTAGCGAACCCGCTAATAAAACTGAAACGCGATCAGAGAATTCGGGAAACTCTGAATTCTTGGAAAGAATTTTCCGAGTTCTTTGAGACCTTATTAAACAAAGCTGAAGCCGATATTGCTGCTGCGAAACGAGAGAGAAAAATGAAGGAAATCGACAAGCTCGTTAAATTAGACCTAGAAGATAGGAAAAAGTGGGATTAAATTAAACTCGTCTTTTTTTTCTTTTGCTTCCTTTCCTTTCTCCAACAAGTCCTATGATGGCAACATCAACGAAAAATGACAGTTCCCATTGAAGACGAACGCGACTTCCTACATTTGCCACCCTACGTAACTGTAGAGACAAATAAAGTTTTAAACGGGAAATTGAACATCCCTATTGACTTACTGACTAAGTACAATTACATTCCAGAATATAATCTCGACGATAATTGCACTCTGCACGAAGATTTAGACGACGACAGTATTAATGACACACTGGTCCAGATTTTGGGTGTAGTCTATTTGCCTATAAACGGTGAAGAAATTTGTTTTAAGGTAGTAGAATCGATAGACGCTACTCTAAGTTGTTTAGGCCAAGGAATCTTTGGTTTCGAAGGATTATTAGAAGCAGGATTTATTCCTAGTTCCGCGCTTTAAATCCCATCCGCACTCGAGACAAACTTTCGATGCTACTGATAATTTAAGGTACAAAATTCTTTTAAAATAATTATTTTTATTTTAAAAGAACAGTAACTCTTTCGCGCTGGTTGCAAGTACAAAGCCGCACGACCAGAAAATTCCTCGGCTGCATCTGAGTAATTTTCCGAAAGGAAAACTGAGATTGGAAGAGAATTAAAAATTTTCTTTACATTTCTCTCTGCTCAGAAGCGCTGGTTAAAGTACTGGTCACTCGTTTTGTAAAGCCCCTCGGCTGCGGTTGTAAACCTTACTTTTTCAAAAAGAGGGAGGTTTTACCTCCTTCGGAATTGAGTCAAGAGCTCTCTTTTTCTCCTATAATTTAAATCCAATTTTTTCTTCTTCTTCCCTTGTACAGACAATTCTGATTTGTTTTGAATTCTTTCAATATGTCAAAATAAAAATATCTTCTGGTCCATCGAAACCAAAGAGGCAAGAAAGCCGGATTTAAGCACTCCCAAAAATCGGGAATCAAACCAGGTTCTGAAATCTTTTATAAGCTCACACACCCGATAATCAAAATTCGATCAGTGTGTTCAGTCAAACCTACTCCTAGAATAATTCCGGATGTTATCCCACCTGCTCCTGCTGTAATTCCAATTGTGCATGAGGTTATAGACGTTGATATTGAAGAAGCCCTAGCACTCAGACAGACAGCGTATGCTCCGGAAAACCAAATTCGACTGGGACCTAGTAACGAACACTTAGAACAGCTATACGATTCTGACACGACTGTAGATTATGACAGTGACATTATGATTTTGGACTAAGATCTCTAATGTGTGACCAGAAATCAATCCCCGACGTAGTCCCTAAGCTTGAGCTCCAACATCCCGTTTTTAAAGACGAGATTCCTTTACCCCCGGGAGTTATCCCCATAGAAGTAGTTAAAATACGGAGAGCTATAGAGAAAATTTGGAATTTAAAACGGAAAGAAATCGACGACGAGATTCCTCCACCCCCGGGAGTTATCCCTATAGAAGTAGTTAAAATACGGAGAGCCATAGAAGAAATCTGGAACTTAAAACGTCTTAGACCTTAAAGTTTGATATTTTCTGCAAATGACAGAAATATATTATTTTGTCAAGTACAGTGATAAATTTCCCATATCGGACCCAGAGTTGCTGACTCAACGTGAACTAAGCAATATTCCTATTTCTTTCCTTGCATCCGCCTGGATAGTTTCAGTAGTGCCGAAAAATAAATTAAGAATCTGTAGCATAGAAACTACGAAACAGTCTCATGTTTCCTCGTTTAGCCTTGGTAGCGCCCGGTTTTCCCCCGGATCAGTGGTCCGAACTAAATGAGCGATTAGAAAATTTGGAGGTCTACTATCAACAATTATTCGTACACCATCTTGCCTTGCGGTGTAGGGTTAAGCGCTTAGAGTAACGAAATAGATTTACCTCATCATGGGTAGCTGCACTTGCTGATTCTCACGCTAATAATACAGAGAATTTGATTGCTTTCCAAGAAAAGGTTACCATTCAACAGAACAATATAGACGAACTGACGTCACAACTTTTAAAATTGACAATCAACTAGGACCCTTCCATGACTCCAGAATGGAGTAACGTTTACTTTCCCAATTCAGACGAATGCATCAATAGACTATATAGTAAAGAAGATTCGGACCCTCCAGTGTTTCTAAAAGACCATAGTGCTTTCGCCAGTGTTTCGATAAGCCCAACCCCCAAACAATCTTGTGCCACCGGAAGTAATCCCAATGTCTCCGAAACTTCAGCCCTCCTGTTTTCCTTGTCGAATGAACCCTACACAGACGTTTACGTAGATGGCGCGTGTGGAGATAATGGTGGAACGAGGCCCAGAGCAGGCATAAGAGTGTGGTTCGGACCTGACCACCCCCTTAATGTGTCGCGAAGATACGGAAGACGACAAACCAACAACGCCTCAGAAATCGAAGCGGCTACAGTGGCGATCCGTCAGGCAAGGAAAGCTGGGATCAGAAAACTTAGAATTAAAACTAATTTCAAAGTTCTTGTCCAAGGCATAAAGGTATGGGTTCCAAAATGGCAAAAGAACGACTGGAAGACGAACGACAACAAACCCGTCAAAAACCAAAAGGCCTACGAACGATTGATAAAAGCCTTGAAACATGCTGACGTTGTCTGGGAGCATGTACAAAGACATGATGGTATTGAAGGTAATGAAAACGCAGATCGCTTTGCTAGAGATGGTGCACTCCTCAAACCACCTTCAGAATCGAGCTCTTCTTCTGAATCATCTGCAGAAGAACCGGAAGAAGAACAAGCTCCAGAAAATATAGTGATCAGCGTTTTGCCACGTCCTATTAGCAGCAAAGAATGTTCGGACTTTATCAACGATGAAGACCAATGGAAACAGAATCACCCCTGCATTGACCTCGACAAATCAGTCCAAAAATTTGAGGAATTTCTGGCCAAAAGAGGTGTCAACCCATCGGACCTCACCAATCAAACCTTGGCTTAGAATCATGAAGGAATGGACACGACACGTCGGAAGCCACATGTCTCAGAAGGTGAGAGCGATGAAGAATATTTGGAGCTCCTGAAGGATTTAGATCCTTGTCAAGACTACAACGACAATGCTTTTGGAAAAAGAGTCAACGATTTTCTGAAAAACTACAACCAAAGTAGACAAAAGAAAAGAGAGGAAGAAGTAGAACAACCTGTTGCCGAAGCAGATGTAACATCCCCTGGTCCTGAAGCAACCACCGAAGTGTTCCCTTCTAGCCCAAATAGACCACCATCCAGAAGAAGTGTTGTGCGATTTAAAGAAATTCCTGAAGTCTTTGAAGACCCTGACAGTAAACCCATAAAATGACAAGTTCATCTTACTCTTTGTGGGAAATATAGGGTATATTCGATCGTAATTAAAAGGCGGTATTTAGACGAATTAGATTGGAGGGATGTTACCTAAGGTTTGAAAAATTTAAAGTACGCCCTCACGCTGGATAATCAAAATCACTGCCGTATGGCAAATACGGGCGACCTTTTAGGTTCTCTCCCACAAAACAAAATGTCGGAACTTGTAGCAGGAATATTCCGCGGTGGCGATATAAAAATCACCTTGTGCCACGGGAGAATCCAAGTTCCTCCTTTAGAATTGTGACCTAAAATATTAACGGAGTTCCACAGTAGCCTTATAGGAGGTCATAAAGGCATTACGAAAACGTACCGTAGAATACGCGAGCGATTCTACTGGCCGAGACTGCGAGACGAAGTCACAGAGTTTATTCGACAATGTAAAAGTTGTTTCGAGAATAAGCTTGCTAGGGCCCGTACAAGAGAGCCTATGATCATAACGGACACACCGGCTATGCCTTTCGACAAAGTGTCCTTAGATACTGTAGGAAAACTTAGAACCACCCCCAATGGGAATCGGCACATTCTCACAATGCAAGATAACTTCAGTAAGTATTGCATCCCAGACATAAAAACCACCACCATCGCTCACGCAGTAGCGACAAACCTTTTTGCCACCTTTGGAGCACCCAGATGTGTACTCACAGACAGAGGCGGAAGCTTTGTGAGTTTCCTAATGCGGAAGCTTGAGGGTATATTTGGTGTCAAACAGCTTACAACTTCTGGCTATCGACCCCAAACCAATGGAGCTCTAGAAAGAAGCCGCATTGAATTGACGGATTACATTAAACACTACGCAAGGGATTTCGACGATTGGGATCGTCTGCTCCCATTTGCGATGTTTAATTACAACACTTCGATTCATGAGGCAACTGATTTCCCTCCGTATGAGTTGGTTTTTGGTCATATAGCAAGAATCCCAAGTACTTTCCCACAAGGGCCAGAACTTGAAACCTATGGGTCCTACCTGAGAGATCTTGTCACCCGAATGACCGAGCTGCAAAATTTGGCGGCTGGAAGTCTAAGAAGGGCAAAATGTCAATCTAAAGAATTCTATGATAGCAAGGCTCGACCATCGAATGTTAAGGTTGGAGACCAGGTATATACCTACAAGGAGGTAAGAACAAATAAGTTTGACAACAGAGCAAGCGGTCCGTATACGGTTGTAGACATTACCCAGAATAATAATGTTATTCTGGAGAACGAGAACGGCGATAGGTTCGCCAAACATAAAGATAAGGTATTGGTTACCCATTTGTAACCAATACTTCGCTAACATCAATATTAACATTTAATTCATTTTAGGAAAAAGGAAAATTAAGATGAAAGGACCAACCGTTTTCCTCCTGACAGGCCTAACCTCTATTTTAGTTCTAGTGGCAATCTGTGGATCCGACTCCTTTCCAAGGACTTCTGATGATCAGCAGTTCCAAATTACCCCGTTGTCTGTTAGCAGTGGGATATATTACGAGCATCTTGGTACCGTAAGGAAATCCGTGACCAACTGGAGAGTGGCCATCTTTCTGGACATAGGCCGGCAACACGGATACATCGACGACCTAAGAGCCCGATTGGAGAGACTGAAGAATTATTGTGCATCTGAAAAGGATTGGTGCCATGAATTTGTAATCCATCACCCTTGGCAGGATAAGTGGGAAATGGCTTCCGAACTACAGAAGCAGTTCCAAACCCAAATCACCGAACTAGAAAACAGACGAAGAATAATACCAAAGAAGATGACAGCCCATCTACGAATGAGACGAAGTGTGCGCCTACTAGGATTCCTGGGAATTATTGCTGGTCTTATTGCTGGTGTTTTGAATTACGAAGATGGAGAAAGATACGATGCCATCATCCAGGAATTGAACTCTGCACAAGCTAATCTATCTCACCTGGTTGGACGTCAAACACACGTCGTGAGATCTCAGCTCGACACCCTCCATGCCCAGATCGAAAAACATAGTTCCCTAATCAATAACATTAATCAGAAATTAGATCTACTGATTAAAAATCAAGAAAGCCAATCAGCATCTAAAATAGAGTTAGAAAAAAGAGACGCAATATTTAACCTACTAGGAGCGCTGAAAACAAGACTGGACCACAACATTCGATTTACACAAATTATGCTGGAAGCAGTTCATACGGCTAGACAAGGAAAACTGCATCCAGGGTTGATTTCATCCAAGCAGCTGGAACCCATCCTACGCGACATCCAGGATCATCTCACTGAAGTACAGTTCCCCATACTTGGACCTGCAGTTAGCATCGACGAGTTAGTTCCAATCTCCACCGTCACCGTTCTGTGCGTCAATCGACAACTAAAGATCCTTGTTAACATTCCCTTACTGGAGAAATATAATTATCAGGCATTGAGAATGCATCCCCTTCCAACTGTCCAGAAGGCAATAGGAAATAAAACAATAAGAGCTTCTGTAAAGACCAAATATGATTATCTTATTATTGATGAAGAACAGCACACCTACTTTCTATTTACAGAGCAAGATTGGAAATCATGTAAATCAACAACATCATATCACGCCTATTTGAATGGAGCCCCCATCTACGATCTGTAGGAGAGACCAGCCTGTGAACCTTCGCTTTTGATTAATCCCACTATCAGCAATTTAAGAACCTGTAAAATTCAAATCACCATTAATTCTGAGTCCTTCTGGAAGCCGCTAACTACTCTCTCCAGTTGGTTATACTCCTTCTCTAGGACGAAGAACTTAGTGATCATCTGCCATTCCAGGATCCCTACCAAAATCAACCTTAACGGAACTGGAATCCTGAAATCGGCCCCTGGTTGCACAGCGAAAACTCAGGACACAATAATTCCAGCGACCACCTCTCAAGTTGGACAAATTGAAGTGATCTACGAACCCGATTTGCATCTGAACCTAAAAAAACTATCCCCAGTGGTCTCCAATTACGGACATCTACTAAACCTCACTAATGATGAAAACCAGGGAGTGGTTGGTTTGAAAATTTCCACCTTTGAAGCCAATTCGCAGACATTGGATGAGCTGGAACAACAACTGGAGGATCTTGCCATTAAACGGCACATTGGAAAAATCAAACAGTCCTTGTTTATTCGTCTTATATAGGACTGTTGTTACTATGCATTCTCCTCATATTTGTCTTTGTAAATTACGCACGAGAACAATAATCTCCAAATTGGTTGGTTTCTTGCCCAGAAAGTCAAAAAAGGGCCATATTGAAGTTTCAAGAAGAAGGAGAAGAAGAATCAGCCTGCCCGAGGACAAAATAGTCGACGCACAGGAACCAACAACTTCAGGATTAACTCTAGAATCGATATTGTTTCTACGAAAATAGAATGGAGACAGGAGAGAAAGATCGCCTTTTGGTGAAAATCAATGTCTCAAAGGATCTGTTTTCTCCATCCTTTATTGAAAACAATTTTATTGTTCCCGCGAAAACTTTGAGACATGAGGAGGGAAGAAAATTTCCGGTAAAATTGACTTTACTAAAAAAAATTTAATTAAAGTACATAAAGTCCGCATGTTAGACTCATTGGATCTTGACGAAATATTCTTCCTTTCTACTCAATTCAACCCTCCCCAATTTTTTTATACTATGACAATGAATTGATATTGTTTCTGTAAAAAAAAGAAGAAGAGAAGGGATAAAAAAAGAGGAATTACATACATTCATCAACAATGAAGTGAAAACAGGGCATAATATAAACAACGAACCGTATAATTTTTTTCTAAAGCTACCTGACTTTTATAACTTCAAAAAAATCATTTTTCTTTAGGAAATAATAATTTAATTAAAGGATCACAATATAATTAAAATTTTTTACTTACGGTAGTTATTTTTTTTATCAGCCTCCCTAATGGATGAATTTAATAAAACCTTTAAAAAAACCAAGCATATGTTCTCTTGGAAATTTTAAAATTGATTCATTTAATGCCAGTGAATTTTTTCTGCGCAAATTAAAGTGGAAATGAGAAAGCAGCATATATTCTTTTTGAAAAATCTAGAATCGGTAAAATTTTAATATTAATTGCTTTTCTTCTATCTTTCAGCTTCAAGCTCTATTTTCTACCCTCTTCGTTCTATCCTCTTGTCGCCACCATTCAATGTTTCCTTTCAGTGATAAATAATAACTCGCATCGTCACCGACATCACCTATTTTGTCCTATAGGATTGCCCTGACAATTGCATTAATAATTCAACACAATTCTGATTCTTACAATCTTCATCATATAAAGATTTAAAAAAAAAGAAATTTTAATATTCTGTTTTAAATTAATGCGTGATTATGAAGTATTCAACTAATAAACAAAATATACTATCAACTTCCTTTATTAAAATTATACTGCATCAAATAACATTAACATTAAAATTACAAGCTAATATAGGGATGCGAATAGGTAATATTACTATTCTCTATTATATTAAATAACATTATATAATGGGATGATAACTAATATTAGATAAAAAACAGAAATGAGAGAAAAATATATAACTATTTCCTTAAAGTTAAAAACAAAAATTTTAAGTAATAAAAAAATGTTTTAAAATTTTTAATTTAAAAAAAAGAGGAAAAGAAAAGGTTTCAAATCACGCGAGTGTGCTCACGACGGCGTAACCGGGCCTCCCTCTTCCGCTCCCGACGAATTTGTCGCCCTTCTGGTAGGGAACGATAGCCCACTGTCTCCAGCGCCTCATCCACTGGGACATCGTAACACTAAAAAAAAAGAAAAAGGGAATCCTTCTTACTGTACAAATTTTTTTACTAAATTAATTCCTTAACTGATTGGTCATAATGTAAAAAAAACATTTATAAAATATTTAACATTTAAATCCCTCAATTGGGCCTTACCAATTGCCAGCGCGATCGGAAGCAAATCATCTCTCCCTCCACGGAGACGAATTCTTGGATGTACGAGAGAAAGTACTCTTCCCTCAACGCATAAGCCCCGAAACGCGGCGGCGAACGGGCCAATAGATTCTTCAGGGGACTAAAAAAGGGGAAAAATTATTTCTGTATACAATAAAAAAAAAGAAGAAATTTTTTTTTCCAAATGCAATAATTACAGTATTTTAATTTAGCCTCTCAAAATAAGTACATTCGTTCCTCCTCTATGCAGCTAGACTCTCCCCCTACGATGACGTCCAAATCGCCATCCTCTTCTTTGACCATAACTGGCTCTCGGAAAGAAACTTAAAAAGGGGAAAGAATGAAAGAAAATTAAACCTTTTGCAAAAAAAAGAGAAATTTTCCTTTTTCTTATTATTATTATTATAAGTTGACCTTACCGTCGCCCAAAACCCTTTGCCCAAATATTCCTCCGTACTTCTCCGCTAGTAGTACTCCTGACGCCAAATCATTCGGGAGTACTTCCGTGGCGGAGTACTGCTCAAAAGCTCCTCGCTGAAGTCCCACCCTAAACAGCCGCGATGGCTTCAGTCCTCGAGTGTATGACGCTACAACAATGCACTTATCACATCCCTATTTTTGATGGACGCAATCCACCTTTGAAGGAATTCCTACAAGACGTAGCTAACGGAGCTGTGTTTTTGACAGGAACTTCCGAGACTGGATACATCAAATCCGTCCTCAGTAAATTAAAGGGTGCGGCTAGGGAAAGCGTAAGGGATAAACGTTTCAATAGATTAGACGATTTAGTGTCCCATTTAAAGAAAAGATTTGCTTCTTCAAATAAGTATCAATGGTATTTATATAATATTATGAGTATTAGACTAAAACAATCACAGACGGTTAGTGATTATAATGACCACCTACAAGGTCTTCTGAGTGGGGCAAAGCATTCTTTAGAAGCAAAATATAATGGACGCTATAGACTAATAGAAGGTTTGGCCATTCGTTGTCAGGATACTTCTGAAAGCGACATTATGATGAAGCCAATCATTGATTGCGCCCTTGAGGCATTCATTCGAGGCTTGCCAGAGGAAATGTCTATTTTTGTGGACACGAGAAATCCGGCAGACCTTAGTGAAGCCTTTGAGCATGCCCTTCGTGCTGAAGAGAGGCACAAGTACTCAGACCGATCTAGAGGTACGTCTTATCATATTACCACCGATGATAAGGTAATTCATAAAAAGCAATACCGATCCCCAGATGAAGCCCTACCACAAATTGACGAACAATTACTTAAACAATTTAATAGTGGTATTATCGGAAACTCGAATTCCCCATATAACTCCCCTCTTCTTATAGTACCGAAGAAACTTGACGCTTCGGGAAAAAGAAAATGGAGGGTAGTTATTGACTATCGAGCGCTTAATGAAAAGGTGATAGGGGATGCTTATCCCCTCCCCAATATTTCCGCCATATTTGACAAATTAGGGACGGCAACATACTTTACGGTCTTTGACCTCGCTAGTGGCTTCCACCAGGTAGAAACTCACCCGGACGACCGACACAAAACAGCTTTCTCATCTCGAAACGGACATTTCGTATACAAGCGTATGCCTATGGGAATCAAAAAAGCGCCCTCCACACTTTTCAGCGACTTCTTAATAGCGTTCTTGGTGGTATGCTTGATTCGGAAGCATTCGTGTACCTCGACGATATCATTATCTATTCTGATACCCTCGAGGAACATGATAGGCGAGCCCGAAGACTATACAGTAGACTTCGAGAAGAAAACCTAAAACTCCAACCCGACAAGTGCGAATTCCTAAAAAGGGAAGTGGCCTATTTAGGTCACGTTGTCGGAGCAAATTGAATAAAACCGAACCCAGAAAAAATTAAAGCCATCAAGCATTTTCCTGTAACGAAAACTCCAACTGAAGTCAGGAGTTTTCTAGGCCTTTCAGGTTATTACAGGCGCTTTATAAAAGAGTACGCTAAAATCGCCAAACCTCTATCTGATCTGTTAAAGAAAACAGAGGAATGGAAATGGGGTGATGCGCAACAGAAAAGTTTCGAAAGACTCAGAAAAGCCCTGAGTAAAAGACCCATCTTACAATACGAGACTACCGTTACAAATTTGAGTACAAACCCGGAAAAATAAATAGAATAGTAGAGGCCCTATCTAACAACCCTGTTGAAAATAATGACACTAATGACAAAGGGACAATCTTGCATCTTCCGAGTCAGAGTGGACCGATTCTTTGGAAGAAACAGATCAGGATAACTTAGATAACCAACGCGAAAATTCTGAAAACAAATCACCCCCTCTTTGCGCCCTTCCCATAAGTAGTGGTGCGAAACAAAAAGTGATTAGTGCTATTGCACGAGTGAGTCAATCCCAGGACAATAGCAAAATTCAACAGAGAGTCCCACGTTCTTCTAAGGTTGAACCTAAACCCAAGAACCCTCTAAAGGTTACAACCCTACAACCTAACCCTACTTATAAACTTCCTGTGGCGCCAAAGAAAGAAGTTCCTTCTTCAAGTCTAGAAAAGCCTCCTTACGCGAATAATCAAACCCCCTCTACTTCATCACTAACCCCCAAGGCCACCAGTTCCACGAAAGGTTCTAAAATACCCACCACATCAAAGGAAATACCAGTTGTGCCTAGGAAAATACTCACAAGAAATCCAGCAGCGTCATCTGCAAAGCTCACTATTCCCAAGAGAGGACAATCCATAGGATCAACTAAACCTAAGGAACCCCATGATGAAGAACCTTATGTTCCCCCTGCAGGTTCGAAACCTGTAGATCCAGATGTGAGTAGTATTGGTGAGAGATTGAGAAGAAGAAAACAAGAAATACGAGAGAAGGCCTGTCACCAGGAAGACGAATCTTCTTCTTCAGATGAATCAACAACAGAAACCGACAAAGAAGAAAATTCGGACGCCCCAGTATTCCGTGAAAGTCATAGTGTGCTTCCTAGTGTTCCTCCTCAGCTCCCACCTAAAAATCCGATTACACCAAAAGAAACAACTGACCAACCATCAACCCCGTGTATTCCCACTATGTCTAGTTCCTACACAGATGTTTATGTAGATGGTGCATGTTGTGACAATGGCGGAATAAGACCACGTGCAGGGATTGGAGTATGGTTCGGTCCTGAACACCCACTCAACGTCTCTCAGCGATCCACAGGTAGACAAACCAACAACGCTTCCGAAATAGAGGCTGCAACAACGGCTATTAAAAAGGCGAAACGAGCAGGAATAAATCAACTAAGGATAAAAACGGACTCCAAGGTACTTGTCCAAGGAATCCAAGAGTGGGTACCAAAATGGCAGAAAAATGACTGGAAAACCAACGAAAATAAACCTGTCAAAAATAAAAGTGCCTACGAACGATTAGTTAAAGCAATGAAAGGTCTGGATGTTATATATGGAAACACGTGCCTGGTCATGATGGAATGAATGGAAACGAAAATGCAGATCGACTAGCAAGGGAAGGCGCCCTTCTAGAACCTCCTTTAGACTCCAGTTCTTCTTCCAGTGAATCAACAGATCAAGAAGATGTGGAAGAAATTTCCCCGGAGCATGTGATCGTCACAATACCTCCACCACCTCCCGATAGTGAAAAAAGTTCTGAACCGGAATCAGAAATTGATCAGGAACCACAGCAAAATCCAGCGGAACCTGAAGATCAAGAAAATTCACTAGATCGATCAATTAGGCGATTTGATGAATCTCTGAAACGTCGTGATTTCAGCAACTTGAATCAATCTAACCAAACCTTAGCATAGGACTATGAAGGAATAGGTCGAACACCTAAAAAGAAGACTCATGTTTCCGACGGAGAGAGCGATGAGGAATATCTTAACTATCTAGAATCCTTGGATCCTTGCAAAGGAATCAACGATGGCGAATTTACAGCAAGACTGAAAAGATTCCTGGATAATGTCAACAAAAAGCGAAAGACAACTCATATCAACAACAACACTTCTCCAAAAAAATCAAGACCATCCTCGGAACACAAAGCTCCTTCTTTCAACCCCTATGCCAGTGGAGCTCAGCAGGATACCCCAGTAATAAGTCATTCTTACCCTAATAGAAAACTAAGTGTAGTACGTTTCCAGGATACGCCCGAAGTGATTGAGGAAGGAAGCATCCATGAGAATCCTGCAACTAGTCTTCCGGTCTTTACTCCTAGAACCTTGCCAGCTCCAGTTGCACAATCTACCCCATTCGCAGATTTTCAAGCAGAAAACGACGAAGAACAAGACGAAGAAGTGGAAAGAAAAACAAACATAGTGCCTCGAAGACTACATCTAAATAATATAGAATTACCCCCACCAACGATGCCTATCCTTCACACAAGGTTACCAATCTATATTAACATTTCGGATGTAGAGTCCCTTTCTTCTTCCTCCCCCGAACCCTCTGACAACGAACAAACTATTACTGCTACACATGAAAAATTCAAGGAAAATCCGGAAAATGTTTTCCACCAATGGACGGAACTATTGACCTATAAGAAAGACAATATTGCCCATTTAGGTTAATATATAGAAAAATTTCTAAAGTAGAATGGTTATGCTTAATCCAAAAAAGTATTTCTCAGGGACTCTTGTCGAAGTGCGTAAGGCCAATAGGGCAGGAGTATAAACAATAAAAAAAAAAAAAAATTAACTTACAGGATATCCGGGATAACAATCCAATAAAAGAACAAGTTCAGGTTACCCTTTGTGGAAAATACAAAATTTATGCAATCGTAGTAAAGAAAAGACATTTTGACGAACTTGATTGGAGTGACGTTACAACAGGGTTACGAAACTTGAAACACGCTTTAGATTTAGACAATCAATCCCACTGCCGGATGGCAAATTCCGGAGACCTGTTAGGTACTCTCCCACAAACGACTATGGCGGGCATATTAGCAGGAATATTCCGCGGTGGTGATATAAAAATCACCTTGTGCCACGGAAAGATTGAAGTCCCTCCTCCAGAATTACGCTCGAAAATAATAACCGAATATCATGGTAGTTTGATTGGTGGGCATTAAAAAGACCTACAGGCGAATACGCGAACGATATTATTGGCCTAGGTTACGGGATGATGTGACACAGTTTATTCGAAAATGTAAAAGCTGCCTTGAGAATAAACTTGTTAGGGCTCGAACTCGTGAACCTATGTTGATAACGGATACCCCGGCGATACCCTTCGACAAAGTATCCTAGATACAGTGGGAAAATTGAGAACTACCCCCAATGGGAATCGACATATTCTTACCATGCAGGATAACTTTAGTAAATACTGCATCGCGGTACCTATTCAGGATATCAAAACCACTACTATCGCCCATGCTGTGGCAACAAACCTTTTCTCCCTGTACGGAGCACCTAGATGTGTGCTTGCAGATGGAGGAGGAAGTTTTGTGAGTTCTTTGATGCGAAAACTCGAAAGAATTTTCGGCGTAAAACAACTTACTACTTCCGGTTATCGTCCTCAAACAAATGGTGCATTAGAAAGGAGTTATATTGTGCTGACAGATTATATTAAACATTATGCAAATGATTTTGACGATTGGGATCGTCTACTTCCTTTTGCGATGTTTAATCATAATACATCGGTCCATAAAGCTACAAATTTTACACCGTACGAATTGGTTTTTGGTCGAACCGCCCGGGTTCCCAGTTTATTCCCACAGGCCCCCGAATTGGAAACTTATGGTGTTTACTTAAGAGATTTAATCGTTAGAATGCATGAGTTACAGAACCTGGCCGTCCAGCGATTGATCAAAGCAAAAGAACGATCAAAGGAATGGCATGATTCTAAGGCTCGGCCTTCTAAGGTCAAGGTCGGTGATCAAGTTTACACATATAAGGAAATCCGGAATAATAAACTCGATTCATATGCAAATGGCCCTTACGTCGTCGTAGGGTTAACCCAAAATAATAACGTTATCCTGGAAGATGAAAATGGCGAATGATTCGCCAAGCATAAAGATAAGATAATGGTTGCCTATTTTAACCATTATCTTCCCTCTGAGTTATCATTAACATAATTTTGATTGTAGGCAAAATGACGATGGAATGGATCACTATTGCCTTGTGCCTTGTTCCAACAGCAGGAGCTGATTTTGATGATTCCCTAGCAAACAACCCAATGACCAGCACATTTTTCCAAATTACACCTTTCAACATCAGTAGTGGAGTCTATTATGAACATTCTGGAGAGGTTCGACGGTCGACAAGCAGATGGAGGGTGGCTGTGTTTCTAGACATCGGAAAACAAATTCGCCATTATAATGATTTGAAGTTGAGACTAGAAAGGCTAAAAGAATTTTGCAGACCAGGAGAAAATTGGTGCGAGCAAACCCTGTATCAATTTCAGTGGGAAGATAAATGGGAGATGGCATCAAAGTTGCAACTTCAATTTCGAGGACAGATCGAGGAGTTAGAAAACACCAGAACGAGCCTACCAAGGAAAATGTCATCACAACTTAAAGTAAGACGGAGAGGCGCACACTCTACAGAAGGGTCAGATTTCCTTCCTACCATATAACCAACAAATTGTGTTTGCTTTCATATTCATGAAAGAAAGCAGCCATGGCTTATGGGAGTTTTGGGTCAGTACCTTGCCATTTTCAAAACGCCTCAGAGTTTTACCCTAATTATTTCAAGGAGAATTAACCCCTTGACTGTGGATGACGTGTATACACGTCATGAAAAAAACTGGCCCAAACAGTGGATGACGTGTATACACGTCATGGCCCGAACAAGAAAACATCTTAACGTATATTCGCAAAAATTTTTACTCGGGGATTTTTGGGGTCGCTGATCACGATTCTGAAGTCATATTTTCAGAATACATAATTTTTCATCCAAAATGGCCGCCAAAAATTTTGAAAAATTTCAAAAGTGGATAAATTCTTTTAAAAATTTTTACTCGGGGGTTTTTGGGGTCGCTGATCACGATAAAAAAGATTTTAAGAAAGATTAAGATTGTAAGATTTTAAGAACATATAATTTTTCATCCAAAATTGCCGCCAAAAATTTTGACAAATTTCAAAAGTGGATAAATTCTTTTAATAATTCTTACCATTTAAACTTTGAAAAGCTAATAACAGATTCGTAATCAGCGACCCCAAAAACCACCGAATAACGAATTTTAAGCGTATCGAATGAATTTTTCAAAATCGTGACCGCTATTTGGAATCCGCCATTTTGAATTTTAAAAAACTAATGTCAGATTCGTAATCAGCGACCACGAAAACCCCCGAGTAACGATTTTTAAGCGAATCCAATGAATTTTTCAAAATCGTGTCCGCCATTTTGGATCCGCCATTTTGAATTTTTGAAAACTAACACCGGAATCGTAATCAGCGACCCCAAAAACCCCTTAGTACCTATTGTCATGAAAATTTATTTACAAGAAGATCTTACACATTTTGGGACCATTTTGTTATATTTTAGCTACACACTGAAGGGGTTAATAAATAAATCTAAGTAAGTTACTATAGTGGAAACCAATTGTTGTTGTTGTTGTTTCTAAATAACTTTAAAGTTAAAAAAAAAATTTTGAACACACATGTGTGCTGTCATAAAATGGTATATACAAACAATAAATAGTAAACATATATACAGATAAATAGACATATGTAAATAATATTATAAAACAACATTTAAATAAAAACACAAAAAAACAAAGAAGAAAAACAAAAAAATGTATTCAAAAATGGATATGCATACGGTCGTATTAAAGGGAAACTATTTATTGGTAATCGATAATCATGAACAGTTATTGCCAATAATTATTTTTTTTATTACAAGTATTATGAACAAATTATATTATCAGTTATTATTTAATAAATTATTGTTGTTATTATTATTAGTGTAAATAAATAATAATGCATAAATAAATAAAACAAAAATAAATAAACAATAATAACAAAAATAAATAAAACAAAAATAAAATTTTTATAAATAAATATATATAATGATAATAACGACAATAAAATAAAAAAAAATACACTTATGAATGAATGTGTATGTATACACTACTGAGTAATTATTGGTAATTGTTGTTAATTAACAAATGATTAATTAATTGATAGTTATTAATGACTATTATTCAAATTTATTATTAATATCATATTATAAAAATTTAATATTGACACTAAATTCTTTTTAATTATAAAACAAGTTAGTACTGAATTATTGTCAATCTATGATGTAAATTGTTGAATTAAAATTAGTCTAATATTTTAATTTAAGAAATAATTGTTCAAATAATTATGTTTATTATAAATATAAATTGTTCAAGAAAAAAAAACTATTGGAAAATTTATTATTAATTTTATGTTTAAATAATTGTTTCTTTAATTGAACAATAAGCAAAATTTGTTTCAATCTAAATGGCATGTGTGTAAGGAATTTGAACCATTTTGCTGTATATCTCCATTGTAATCGCGA